ATGGACAGTCACCCCAAGATTACACTCCATTGAATAAGACTTGATCTTGCCATCTAACTCACTCTAGAGATTCTCCTTCCAGGCTTGGTAAAGCAAAGTCATTTGGAAAAGCTCATGTGATAAGGAACCATGAGTGGCCTTTACTAGCCCCAACCAGCAACCAAGACCCTGGGTCCTACAGCCCCATGGACTGTACCAACAATCTGAGTGAGTTTGGAAGCAGACTCTTCCCCTGTTGAGACTCCAGATGAGAACACAGCCCAGTCGCCATCTTCCCTGCAGCCTCCGGAGAGCCATAAGCATCAGGTGAACCATATCACTGAATTGTGAGATAATATGAAAGTTGCTAAATTTGTAGTTCCTTATTATATAGCAATAGAAAACTAATACCTACATACCCTCCACTTAATATAATAAATTTCATAATCCAATTGAAGCTTCTGTGAACCTTTCCTTGCTTGCATTTCCCTTCCTGTCAAATACTTCTTGATATTTGCCTAGGTGTGTGTCCTTGAAGAACATCAATGGTATGATTTTAACATTCCTCTACTTTAAAGTGTATTTATAATGTCCGTTCTATTTGGTAGCAATCTATCCTGACCATCTCACCATTGTCCATTTCTGACCTCTTGCTCAAAGCCTCACAGTAAGAGGAGGGCCAACTTCTGCCAGCCTGGGGCACCAGCAGCTCCTATCTGTGACTTCACACCAACACAGAACCTCAGCACCAGAGTCTAGCCCCTTCTTCCATTTTGCAAGTGAGAGAGTCTGGTCCAGAGATATGAAGTGACTCACCCAAGGCTCAAGACCAATGGTGGAGCTAAAATGGGGTCCCAGGCGTATACCCAGCTTGGAGGTTTCTGTGTTATCAGATTGTCCCTTTTCAGGGGTTGACTTGATTATTCCATTTCACACTGAGATTCTATTAATTAAATGCAAATCACAGCCCCCCCTACATTCAAAGGGGACACTTACACAAAAGCTTGTATAGCAAGAGGTGGCGCTCAGGGGGCCTCCTCATGGCCTCCAACTACAGTAGGTATCAATTATGTCAAATTTTTGTTGTTCTTACGTGCTTTTGATGTGAGGACTTAGACTGGGTTCTTGGCTTCCATGTGTAGTGATTCATCCACTAAGAGGGCTACCCCAAAGAATGAGGAACTCAACAGTTTTAAAACTATATTCAGGAGAGCTTCCTACATTTATTATGGCCTTTCTCACACTATTTTTTTTTAAATTTTTTTGTTAGCGATAGCAAACTTAAGTCCCAGTCGTGGAAATAGAAGCTGACACTCTACCCCTAGCCCCCGTCCCCCTAATGGAACCTCTCCCAGCACAGATGGGAGATGCCCTGAGCCCTGCCCATCCCATCTGGCGCACATCTCAACACAGTGTTGCCAAGTCTTCCTACAGGCATCTCAACCGGAGTCTGTCAATTTTGGTGGGGAGCATAGCCTTGCTTTCCACTTCCTTCCATTTATTCTCCTCTTTCCCAATTTAAAACAGATGGAATCTTTCTATGATGACTAAAATCTCACTCAATCCTGAGCAAATAAGGTGGGGGAAGGGAACAGGCAAGAGTCAAAGGACAGAGGACTGGGGCTTGCTTCTAAAACCAGGCACCCAGGGTCCTAGAGTGTTGGAAGCTTCTTTGGCATCTGCAAGATTTTTCATCCCAACAGACTCTTCCCTGCCCCATCATTCAGAACTAGGGGGGAAAGCAACAGACCTCCCCCAAGCCGTGTCAATCAGAGGCCAAGGCAGGATTACAGGTGCTTCCTCATGCTCCTTGGCTGCACCCTGCTGCTAGGGACAGCAGGGGGCGCACTACTGTCAGTCAGGAGCCAGGACTCCTCATCTACCAGCCCAAGTCCCAGGCACAAAGCCTGGCACCAGGAAGAAGGCTGGCCTAGTGTTGGTGTTTCCTCCACAATTTACACAGGTAACTTTATGCTTAATGTGACAGTGTTAAGAATAAGAATGGGCCTTTGCTCTCATGATTGGGATTAGTGCCTTTCTCAACGAACTGGAGTCTCTTTGCTTTCTGCTATGTGAGGGCACATAGAAGGTGCCATCAATGAGGAACAGGTCCTCACCAGACACTGACTCTGCTGACACCTGACCTTTCTGGCCCTCCGAGACTGTAAACAATGAATTTCTGTTGTTTGTGAATTACCCAGCCTAAGGTGTTTTGTTATAGCAGTTCAAACAGACTGAGACAGAGGTCCTTAAATGTTTATTGATTGAAGAATAAAGGTCTAATGAAGTAGGACATGAACCAAGATGCTGCTCCTGTTTCTATCAGAAAGACTCTTTTGCCAGGTACCAGAGGGTGTGGGACGTTGGCCTGCAGGAAGGAGCCAGGCTGAGGTGTTGGGTATCTCTGCTTAGGAACACAAAGCTGGCAGTCCTGAGATACCTCCTATATGAACAAAGTTGTTATAGGTCGGTGGCGGCGACTTGGTGGCGACTAGTGGCAACTTAGAACAAAGCAGCCCGCACTGAAAAGAACATCAATCAGATGCCGGCGGAAACGCCTGTCAATCAGCCAGATCTCCTGACTAACGCCTGTCAATCAACAGGACCCCCCTGGCCAATCCTGGAGTTCAGCCAACTCCCCTGACCAACTTCAAGGGGGCAAGGGACCCTAGAAACACCTTTTCCTGTCCCAAGCCCTTCCCTTCCTGCTGTAAGCCCCATAAAAGTCCAGTCCAGTCGAGCTTCCACGCGGTTTCTCCTCAGACCCTTCTCCGGTCCCCTCTGTGGATCTGATCGAGTTCCGCCCGGGGAGTGATATCTCAATAAAGCCTGTTCAGCGGCCCTTTTAAATCTGTCACCTTTGGCCATTGCCTGCCCCGACTGATCTGACAGTAGGGACACTTGTGTCCTTCCATGGTGGGGGGGAAGATGCCGTGCAGAATTAGAGAAGAGCTATCTGCCCAGGGCTGCAGTGTCCCCCCCCCCATTCCCATTTCCCCCATATGGTGAAACACAGAAGGGAGGAGAAGCTCCTTCAGCTGGCACAGGTTTAAGTTTGAAGTAAGCTGAAACCGGGCACAGTGAAGGGTCCTTGTGGCAGGTGGCCCAAGAGGCAGGGTTTTCCACCGCGCTGGAGTTTCAAGGTTACTCTTGCTCTAGCTTCTCCATATACCCCCAACCGATAACTATAAATTATCCACTAGAGGATAGGCCTGTCACCTCGCAACGGGAAATGCTGCACTGGGTGAAACTAGTCCTGGGAAGGGTGGCAAACTGACTCAAGGGTGTGTTGTAGGCTCCATGTGACATCTGGGCTCAGCTTTTTGAGGGGATGAGGGGACAGGAGGGCTCTTAGCAAGGGGAACAGGAGTTGTGGAGGCACATGTGGCCTGTTCAGAACTGGAGATGTTCTCTGCACTGCCCAGGGACAGGAGCAGTGGGGTGTCTGCCTGCCCTGGCCTGCCAGCAGCCAGCCCTGACGCTCCCACTAACCAGAGAGAAAACAAAGTCTCCGCTGTCCTTCATGCTAGCTTCTCTTGGCAAAAGGAATAAAACGGCCCACTTATTTTTATCGCTCACAGATTTCCTGGGAAATGGGCTATTAGTTTCTCTAATGTAAAGATAATAGGCTTGTCCCCCTTGGCAAACGGCACAGCCCCAATATAAACATACTCACAGAACTGTCAAGAGGCCTCCCAGCTGATGATGAAGGGCCCAGGAGCAGGAGCAGGACCTAGACAGGAGCTACCTGCAGGGGCTGAGCACTCAGTGGCCAGGGAAAGGCCATTCTGGTCCTCAGAGGTCAACTTTTCTCCTCTGGCTGGTGGAGTGGGAGTGGCATTGGTAAAGGAGATGGGCCAAATGAGAAAAGGTGTCTTCTTCTGGCAGAGGTCGGGGGACAGGTGTTACCAAGCAGTCTCACACAGGCAGTGTTTCTAGGCCCTGCCACTGAGGCCCTAGAAGAAGTCACTCCCCATTGGGTAGCTCTCACCTCTAACCCTCACAAACACCTAAGGGCAAGCAGATACTAGGATAATGAGCCCATGAAACAAGGTGGGAAACCTAAACATGTGACAGGGGAAGTAAGTCAGCCATGGTCCAGCAGCAAGTCTATGGTGGAGTGAGGCCAAGGACAGATGCTCCCCAGAGAAGCAGGCGCTGCTTGATCCTTTGTTCTCATCTCCTTCATCCCTGCCCTCCATCTCCATCCTCCAGGACAAAACTTCAGGGACTCAGGAGTGAAGCCGGGGGAGGGGGAGGGACCACGGTACTCAGAAAGCTCCCCTTCCCTCTTCCCACCCATACAGAGTGGGAATCTCTTGGCCTTAGGCGAAGGACACCCTCTCACACCCAGAACAGGAGAAGGGCTTGGCTCTTCCACATCCTGGGGACCATCCCAGGACCCTGAAAGCACCAGAGGATTTAGTCACAACTATGTCCTAGTGTCATGTTGGGACTTCACTTCTCACATGCACAACCGTCTCTCATCTAGACTCCCGGGGTCTTAGCTGTACCTTTGTTTTGTTTTGTTTTTAACTCTTCCAGGAAGCATTGGGCAGTGATGGGCAGGTTATTGGAGCTCATTGCTCCCTCCTGACTGATCTGAATGGGTTAGTGGACAATGGCTTGGTTTTTGCTGGCCACACAAGTGTGCTACTTACAGACCTCTTTTCCTGCCTGAGTCTCCTCTTCCTGCCATTCTGGGGCTACATCTGTGTCTGTGGAATCTCAGGTCTACAGCTCGACTATACTCCCACCTCTGCAGCCCCTGTCCCCAAAGCTGTGGAAGCACAAGCAGGTGGATAGCAAGGACAGCCTCACCCAGACAGCAAAGGCAGTCACCTGACTGGACCCTTCTCTTGGCTATTGGGAGCCTGAGGGTAGGCACCATGGTCTGAGGTTAAGGGAAAATGGACGCACAGTGTCTTTCTATTCTGAAGAAGAAAGAGGCTCTGTCTAGAGCCATGGGGACTCTGGGCCATGCTTGGGCAGAGCTGTTCAGCCTAGTAGGGGGAGGCAGACTTGGTCCCTTTATAGCTACTCTGGGGCCATGAGAACCCTTCTAGGGAATAGAAATAGGAATGGAATCATTCTGCATTTCAGAAGCAGGACCACAAGCCCAAGAGGAAACAGGAAGCTCCAAATACCCTCCCGCCACTTTAAAAGTTCAAAAATAAAGAATGGCTGCACCTGCAGCCGGAGGAAGGAGTGGAAAATCACCAGGAAACACGGAGGGTGAGGCCAGAATTTTATGGAGTACGTAAGTACTGATCGACTGCTCCTCCTCCTCCACCTTCTCCACCTCCTTCATGTTGCTGAAGCTCTGAGGCCACAGCCTGTGGCTCCTTCTTCTTGGTCGGCTCTACACATGGCTGCTGTGCCAGGAGGCGGCAGGCCAGCCGCTCCAGGCCATCCAAGCTCACCCTCTGCACGTGCTCCTCGTGCTCCCGTCTTAACAGCTGCAGCACAGCCTTGGCATCCTGGGGCCCAAAGTGTTTGGCTAGGACCTGGCCCAGCTGGTGCCACAGGGGCTGGGTTTGGGGGGCTTCTTCTGGTGCCGCCTTCTCCAGGGGCTGCATGATAACATTGATGGAGGCATTGGGCCCAATGCAGTAGTCGGAGAGACGCTTGTCATCAGCCAACAGCTTGCCGCGGAACAGCAGGTGCTGCTGCTCTGCAGGTATCTGCAGCTGCTGGGACACCAGCTTCTTCAGTGTGGCCACACTCTCATGGCCCGACACCCTGAGGTTGCATCTACGGCCCAAAAGCAGCTTGACTGTGAGGAACATTGGGCCACAGCAGAATCAGGAGGGATCCATGCTCTGAAAGTTGCCCCTGAAGATGAAGGGGCCCTAGAGGAAAAGGTGGCCCTATCACTGGAGGGCCAGTGGTTCCAGGAGGCTGAGGGCCCAACCCAGGTGGGCGGGCACTGGCTGACACACAGTGATGTCACAATGCTGCAGAAAGGTTCATTTCCAGAGCAGAACTTTAGGGACAGCAGAGGGATATTGTGAGCATAGAAGAGGAAAGAGGGGGAGAAAAGAGAAAATAAGGAGGACCAGGAGAGAAATATGTAGGCCTTGGAGAAGAGAACAGGGACAAAGAAAGGGCTGGAAAGGAGGGGGCGACAGGAGCATGCTGCTTCACTGGGCACACCTCTTTTCCTGCCTGAGTCTCCTCTTCCTGCCATTCTGAGCAGGAATGCCTTCTGGGTGCCTTCTCTGTGCCAGGACACTCCTACACCTCAGGAGCCCACTGTGTCCAAGTGGACATCTCTGCTTTCACGAAGCCTTCAGACTAGTGCACCCACTGCCCTTTGCCCGGGGTCTTCTTCCCGTCAAGCACCTTCCAAGCTCTCCTGGATGGGTTTCCCAGAAACAGACCCTGGGACAGGGATTTGAGTACAAGTGTTTAGTTGGGAGTTGATTCTCAGGGGCACATCCAATTAATGCTGCCTCAGAAGCCATAAGCTGGATCTCTGTGCTCTGACTCCTGTCTTGGGTTAATGGAGTGCTAACTCTGTAGCTTCCTGGTGTCTTCTCTGGTCTCCTAACCCTTGAGCCGAGACTTGCAGGTGCCTGCAGGAAGAAGCCAGCAGCCTTCAGGAACATGAATGCTGAGGGGACAGGGCAGGGCCACCAATAGTGTCTATTTCACATCAGAGACCTTATTTAACGCTCACCACCTACAAGGCAGGTACTGTCATGCTGTCTGTCTGTCAGAGGAGAGAGTGGAGACTCAGCTTAATCTCAGGCCTATTTACCTGGCCTACCTCCTGAAACCAACACCTGTTGAGTGCCTCCATGCGCTGGCAACAGAACAGACTCCTAGGGTTCACAGGTGAACAAGGAAAGGGACGCTGACCAGCCTCCTTCAGGTCAGCTCTGCTGTTGCATTTGGCAGCTTTTTGTGTAACCCATCACTGAGGGCCTCCTGGTCCTAGCCCTTCACGTGTGCTGTCACATGTAAACCTGGAGGAAAGCATTGTCACAGATGAGAAGTGAGAAACCTGGGGAAACCCTGACTGGTGTCCCCCAGCTGGGGTGCTGACTCTGTCAGGGACCCCTCAGGTCTCCTCAGCTCTCTGTGCTCATCTGCCTGCTTGCCCGCACCCAGCCCTTCCTCCACTCCTCCCTCCCGCTCACCCGGCCTCCTTTTCCTCATCACCAGCATGGACTCTACAGGGGCATGACACTGTTGCCAAAATCCTAGGACCTTCTGGACTTGATCTTCCACAATACTCAGCCCCTGATCCCATCCCAGGGTCACCCCAACCTTCTCCCCTGGCAACCAAGAATGGCTGAAGCAGGGCACAGGCAGGCACACCTGTAATCCCAGTGGGTCAGGAGGCTGAAGCAGGGGGATCGAGAATTCAAAGCCAGCCTCAGCATCTTAGCAATTCATGAAACTCTGAAAATAAAATATTAAAAAGGGGGTGCCTGGGCTGGGGTTGTGGCTCAGCGGTAGAGTGCTTGTCTAGCACAAGTGAGGCCCTGGGTTCTATCCTCAGCACCACATAAAAATAAATAAAGGTACTATGTCCAATTACAACTAAAAAAAGGGGGGGGGGGTGCCTGGGGATGGTGGTTGAGTGCCCCTGGGTTCAATCTGAAGGAGGAAGAGGAGGAGGAGGAGGAGAAAGAGGGAGAAAGAGGGAGAAGAGGAAGAAGAGGAAGAAGAGGAAGAGGTTAGCTGAAGAAAAACCTCATGCCCACCACAAACTTAGCCCTTACAACCCTCCCCCACACCTGTGTTCTCACTCTTGGCAGGTGACCCAAATTCTAGTCCATAGAGGACCTAGAGCTCACAAGTCAGGAATTCACTGACCTCTTGTCCCTCCCTGCCTACCAGTGCGCTGCCCCTTCCCTACCCCCTTCTCCTCCCCTCACTCCTACCAATGGAGCCCTCTTGTCATTTCCCTTTTTCCTTGCAAATGTCTCTGAGCTCCACCCCTCTTCTGCATCCCTGCTCCCACCCCACCCCACTTAGGCTCTCTCCTCCCTCCAGCCTGTGGCTCTGAACTCACAGTCCATCTCTGTCCAACCTCACCACCTTCTGTCCATCAATGCCACAACCAAAGGGATCTTCCTAAAATAAAAGTAAGCATGCGTCACTCCTGAAACACAACCCAATTCTAACCCCTTTGTTTTTGGAATTGAAACCAGCCTCCTAGGTCTACACACAGATCTCGGCCTGGCCCTGCTTGTTACCCTAATCTCTTTATCTCCCTAGTCTTATCATGTCCCCACTTTGCATCCTCCACTTAAACCACACCCACCTGCCATTCCCTGCTTGTTTGCCATGTTTGAACTCTACCAACCACAAAGCTGCATTAAAATCACTTCCTCCATGAAGCCTTCCATGTCTTCTGGAGTCTGGGGCAAAGTCAGTCCCACCTCCCTCAGTGCAACCACAATTCCCCTTGAACACTCCTGGGTTGATGCACCTGGCACATATCTGTCTCCCTCAGTGACTCTGAGAGGCAAGGACTGGGTCTTGTCTCTCTTTTTTCACCTCCAGCATACTGAGACTGACACACAGATGGCCTTGGAACCATGCTTGTCAAATAAAGCAAATCTGATTTAGACATACTGAGCCACACAGGAGTACGCAGGGGCCAGTACTGAAGGCTGTAGAAAGATGTAAACCTGCCTGCAGCCTCTCCCTCACCCCATCTCTAGAGAGACGAAAATCCAAACTTACACAAAAAATAAATCAAAGTGATTCCAGTCTTTACCAAAGGATCTTCTATAGTATTTCTTTAAATAACTGACTCCCTGGATGCATTTGAAATAAGGCAATATGCAAATATACATACAGTATTGGGGGCAGAGGCATGGACTCCATGATAGCACAGCATCTGTGCAGAGGGAGGGGAAGGATGGGTGAGGATTCTCCAGGGCCATTTCTCCAGGAGCTCCCAGTCTTTGAAGGGAAGGACCCTGTGGTGGACAAACTATCAGATGGACTTGATTGGGGCCATTCTGTCCATCCTTGAGGAAGGACAGAAGCTAGAGTTGGAGCATTAAGGAAGAGATCAGCCACTGCGTCCAGCCTATTCTCTTAGACCCCTCTACTCAGCTGTGAGCTGCCCAGGACATCAGAAGCCACTGAAGAAGACACGTTAGGCCTGAGCTTCTAGAAGCACACAAGAGCCACAGCCCAGGCTCCATATCCCCAAGGCCCATGGCTACATGCAGGCAAGAGCCAGCTTACGGGGTCTTTGAGGGCCATACCTGTTGATTCACACTTGCTACCTGGTTTAGGAAGTGCCACTGTCCATGGACCATAAGGACAGAGCTTCTGAATCAGGGTATCTGGAGAAGCTGAGAGAAATGGTCACTGTTCAACCTCTACATTTGTGTCCTAGAGTCCCTACTGTCCTTCCAAGGTAGACAGTAGGGGCACCTTGCTGGACCCTCAAATCACATTGGGAGCCTGGAAATTTCCAAAGTTTTCCCACATAATTGCTTGTCTTAATTATGCAATTAACATGCGAAAATATAGTTGTGTAACCAAAGCATGCAATCCAACAATGATTGCCGTAATTAGGGAGGAAGATCATCTGGAATGAGTGGGTTTTGTGACTTGGAAAAAAGGAACAAATGTCCAGCCGAGAGTGAGGGACAGCAGTGGGCTCAGATCCTCCAGAAAACAATGGCAAATGTAGTCAGTGTCACAGTGTCTGGTGGGGGAAATGGGTGGGGTTGGGAGAGGCCTGTAGCACTGGTGTGTGGGCAGCCAGGTTCTCTGTGCAATGCTCCTGAATGGGCTGATGGAACCTTGGGACACTGAGGGACCTGGCACAGTGAGTGCCTCCCAGAGACATTCAGGCGAATGAGTTAATTTACAAATGTAAATGGAGCTCCTCCTGTCACCCTCCTACACTCAGGAAAGATCTCTTTAGGCCTAGAAATATGCCCCACAAAGTGTGGTTCCACAAGGCCCCCCACCTGCACAGGTAGGCAGGCCCAGCCATCCTCAGCAGGCAGACCTAGGCAGAGAGGGCAAGATAGGGGTGGGACAGGATCCCCGGCTGAGGGGCTCTGGGCCATGAGTTTGCAGCCATTCCCTGGGACTTCCTGGAAGGTTCATCAGGAAGATAAGCTCTGACCCCTGCCCCACCTCACTCATAATGCAAGTTATCAAGTTATTGTCCTTTGATGACGCCAGGCTGAACTTGCAGGGGCTGCTGGGGAAGGATAGAAACAGAGACAAGGGCAAAAACGTTCGTCCCTGCAGGCCCCCCTTCTGAGAACAGTGTCCCTTTCCCACTTCCCTTAGAGTCTGGAAAGATTCATGGGAAAGCCTGGGCAGAGAAAGTGGAATCCATCCTGAAGGGGCTGAGAGCCCACAGTCATGGCTCCCAGCACTACCTGCTGCCTCCACCCCACATAGCCCCAGCACTCAATGGCACACCTTGAGCACCCATGATGTGCCGCACCCTGAAAGGCAATGCGAACAATGGAAGTTCCCGGATGGCCTGTGGCAAGGGCTTCCCTGTGTGACTTCCTAGTCTATCACCAGGGACTCTCTGCTCCTTTGAGGAGGGGTCTCTTGAGGCTGCTCTGTGCCCCACCAGACCTAGCTCAGGACAGAACAGGCAGCTCTTTAGAAGGGGGTCTCTGAGCAAAAGGAGGACAGCAGATCTCTTGGGGCCACCAGAGCCCAGGGTACACAGGTTGCAGTCCTACACCTGCTCTTGCAGACAATGCACAGCCAGCATGTGTCCAGGCTTTGGTCCTTCACCAGACACCCTATTGTCCTGGAGCCCTAGAGAAGTCAGGCGCTGGCTGGGGCAATTCAGAAACCTGGCCCCTAAGCTGAGCAGAAACCAGCTAGAAAACCTTGTGAAGCTGCAGCCTGCTTTGACCACTAGATGTCACTGGCGACCTCCCCTGCCAGCTCCAGTGACCAATACCAACCAAGCGAGCCTGGGATCTGGGCACACAGGACTTCACCCTGGCTGGGTTCAGAGCCTCATCAGCAAACGAGCCCCTCATTGGTCATGTGTGGGACACAGATATCAGGGCCTGCCCTGAGTGGGGCACTGTGTCAGGTGCCAAGGCAGGAGAAAGAAAGATGTGTCCCTAGGGGAGGGGGCACATAAACCTGTCACTTCAGCACCATGCCTAACTCTACCATGGAGGAGAAGGAATTCCTGACTCCAAAAAGAGGTGCAACAGGTGACAGGGCTTCACCAGGGAGGGACCTTTACAGGGTGGGGGGGGCGGTTGAAGGAGCTACAAGAGGTGCCTCAGGGCAGAAGGCAAAAGGGTTCAGCATACATACATCTGTGTGGAACAGTGAGGGATTCTGTATAACCAGAGTGCCATGAGGGAGGGAATGGGGAGGTAGCTATAAGAAGGTCAGGGCCAGTCACCTTCACAGAGTTGCTCTTTACTGGATCCAAAACTTCCAGAATTTGGGCTAAATCCCTCCAGTGCACAGCACAGAAGTCCCAAAGGAGCAACCCCAGCTATTGCACTGCGTGCATGCTCTTTCTCTTCCCCACCCTCCCTCCCTCCCCCACCTCCCTCCCTCCCCCACCTCCCTCCCTCCCCCCACCTACACACACACACACACACACACAACACCTGAGCTATGCTTAGCAAAGGGCTTTCTTCCCACCATCTGAGCTCTCCAGGGACGCCTGCAGGAATGCCAGCACCCTATCCAGTGCAATGTGGCCCATAGTCAGTTCTTTTCTCCCCTTAGCACCTTCTCTGGTTGATCCTGCTCATGATATGGGAGGTGACCCATCACATCAGATAGGGGCACTTTAACCATGACTGGCCCAGGGTCGTTGTCTTGTCCTGTCTGCTCTCTGCACTGTGTGATTTCAGCTGACAAAAAGTAGTCTGCTGGGCTGGGGATGTGGCTCAAGCGGTAGCGCGCTCGCCTGGCATGCATGCGCCCCGGGTTCAATCCTCAGCACCACATACAAACAAAGATGTTGTGTCTGCCAAGAACTAAAAATAAATAAATAAATATTTTAAAAAAAAAAAAAAAGTAGTCTGCTTCAGCCTGCAGCCATGGCACTGTAACATACCTTTGGTCATTC